CGTGTAGTAGTTCAAACCAGGTTAAAAGTCCGGGCGACCAGCTCATAAAGCCAGACACGGGCTGGCACCGCTCTAGCTCAAGGCGATGGCAAACTCAGTAGCCACATCTCTCACATGCACCTGTCGCCTGGAGCCAAAGTCTCTCAAACTTGCTCACAAGCAGGAGTCAAGACCAGTCTTTGTTCTTGCTCTTTAGTGGGGCAACATGCTCCTCGTGACAGATCAGGGCAGCAAAAATACCTTGCCATCTTGACTAACCTCTTCAAAAGTATGTGGACTAACTAAGATTCAACCTTTACTAAATAAAACATGTTGCCTCGCCTACCAAACGGAAGAAGGCACAACTTTGATAACTGGGACTTCTTAAAACTTCCTGCCTTAAAATGAGAAACTTCAAGCTGCACCTCTAAAATACTATTGAATTTTTGTCGTTTTTATATGTAAACCTGCTAAAGAACCACTGTTCTTCACTGCAAGGGAGTCCGATAATGCAAATAAAAAATAACCATTAGGATCTTCTGTGGTAGCTCAATGGAATTAAACACATATTTACACGTAGCATAGTTTCACAGCTGTCTATGTCTCCAGTAACTTTTCTTGCTGTGGCACACAAGAGGGACTGTGAGAAGTCTAAAGTACACCTTGTCATCAGCAGTGGTCTGTAATAGAGGGGGAAGTCAGCAAGCTGTCATTTTGTCTGTTGAACTTAGGGAGTAGTGTGAAAGTGCCTTCTGTCAGGGATGGAAAATGTTTTCCGCGTACACAATGCTCTCCGTGTGCATCGCTGACAAACAACGCTCACAGCTCAACATATTCCTAAATATCAATGGTTCCTTGTAAAGAAACATATAAAAATAATAATCATGGTCATAGTATAATTTGTTTATTTCTTTAGGAATGCTTTTTATATTTTCTGTTTGTTTTATTTGTCATAACGTATGCATTTGTCTGCCACGGTAGGTGACACGGTGGAACGAGCTCTCTGATGACACCAGGGCCGCAGAGACTCTACATCTTCCCCCGCTAACTAAAGACACACCTCTTCAGACTCTACCTCGACTAAAAACGCTAAACGAATTGTAGCACTTAAATTGTACTTATAATGGCTCTTATCTATAGCAAGTTGTAAATCGGCTTATTTGATGAAATTGCACGTTCTTGTTCTTCTGGGTTTGTATCCTTATGGTTGAAATGCACTTATTGTAAGTCGCTTTGGTTGTCAGCTAATGACATGTAATGTGAAGTAATGTAATGACACCCGACCCACTGGGTCAAAGTGGGCACAGTATTTAATATGTGGTGCTCTATGGGAACTGTAGGTGGAGTCAAAGCACAAATAATCCACACTTACATCTTATATAGGTTTTCTTTTGTGTTTTTAACAACGAAAATCCTCGTATGCACTAAAATGAGAGAATCTGGCAAATAAATAAGTATACCATTAGGATTGCTATTTCCAATCCCGGGTTAATTTTTGGCTGGGCGTGCTGCAAATTAGATCGTATGATAGGACGAGATGCAGCAACATCCCCGGAAAATTCACAGAGAGGAAGGTCAAGCCATAACAACCTGCGTCCTCTGCTCCCTCTGTGTTTGTCTAGAGAGAAGAAACCAGTAGAGGGCCGTTACCATCATCTCAAACACTTGATGAATCGTCAATAAATCATTTGTCAAACAGCAAGTGAGGATGTGCCGTAAACCCTCAATCTACCACGTCAAAAAGCCACAAACTACTGAAGGACTGGACCTGTTATATCATCAAGATGCATTGGTGACGCTTATCGAGAGAGGATGAAAATAAAGGACAACTTACAGATATGTTTTCATCACATCATTGCTCCAGAGGTGGTTACGTGGTAATTATTGCAGATGGATTCTGTCATAGACTGAGGGAGCATGGCTATGTCACTGAGGAATGTTTTGCTGCCTCGTGGCTGTTTAAGTACTCTAATACAGGCTCATGATGTCAGTGTTTACCCCCCCCCCCCCCATCTCCCCGGTTCATAGTCATTTACTCATCTCCCGTCCATTTGCAGCTGTCAGAATTAAACTGTACATAATGGTTGCCATCACGTCTCTTGCTTCCTGGCTGCTGCTAACCCCAAATCAACATTCCTGCTTCTTGGTGATGTTCATTGCAATTGTTGGGCAAATTGTTTGTTTGAAAATGCAAAATCAAATAGCCTGATGTGCAAGACAGAGCATCTGATTGGCTTCCAGTGTTCCCTGTGTTGATTTGAATTTAGTGCAAATGACGACAGACGGGGGAATTTATTTGTCTATATGTGAGTGTGTGTGTAGGTAATATGTATTGCATTCAGCTTCTTATAACGTAGCTGTCTGTGTGTGCACCTTCAGGTACCGCAGCACGTGACGTTAGCAACAGTCTATTGACTTTATATCTGTGAGTGACTGCGAAGCACAGACAGCATCCGAGTTACAATTAAAAAAAGAGGTTTACCAACAGGCTTCTAATTGTATGTCTGATGAGGAGAGACACTCTACCCCAAAGCCTGGAGGCTGTGTTCAGTCAGGGGAGCTGTTATTGACAGCTATTGAATGATCTACAGTTGTTAAGGTGCAGAAAGCAGGATGCCCAAATGAAGCCGACAAGTCAATCAATGCTGTGTTTAAGACAGAGAGAAGGCGGTTTCCTGTTTTTGGAACAAATGCCCTGGGAGATTTGTGTCTTGAGGTGTGTGCTGTAACCACTCTTTAATGTATTTGTATTTACTCACACCCAGCAGCATACAAGTGCATCAGACAAATATGATTGAATGGGTGCAGAAACCACAATTAACCACAAGTGTGCAAGCTTCATGGGGCTTTGTTCAGATAGATAGAACCGAAACGCAAAGAGTAGCAGCAAAAAATGTAAACATGACCTAATTTAAATGTGTGCTACTGCTGATATTTCAGTATAACTAGGTTAGTTCACCATGAATGATGATCTTAAAGTACATACTTATCCAGGCAGTCAAAGGTTTAGACAAAGTGAAAATGTATTGCCTTGTTTGCAAACATTTTCTTTTTCACAAAATGTTTGATGCAAGGAGATCTCAAAATACCTCTTGGATCGCTGTAACCTACTTTATAGATTATTGTATTTGATTTATAATCTTAAAAGCAATGCGTAATCATTTTTGAATCACCTTTTGAATGATTGAATAAAGGGAATTTGAATTCATTGTGCGCGGGACGAGGGAACTATCTATGAACCTTGAAAGGACGAGATGTCTTCCGCCGCCTACGGAGCGTCGCAACGTCCAGTCTGCGATCAATTCGCAGCTTTTAACCATCATTCCTCCTCTGTTCTCCCTTTTTCCCTTGCTCATGCTTCAGTAACATCCCATGGACTTGTGGCTATAAACTTAAGTTGGTTGTGTGTGTTTTTGTATTTGGGTAGCTTGAATTAGCGCCGATTGTTTTGTATTTTAGTTAAAGTGAGTAAGGGGGAATTAGTGAAAGAAAGGAAAGTTCATGTTAAAGCCAAAAAGGTTAAAGGTTTATACTTAGGAAATTTAATGGAAGTGGAAAAAGTTAAAAGGGAAACAAGGCAGCAGAGCTTTGGTAAATAGTAATCTTATTTATTTGAGATATTTATTATTTACAAAGTATTTTACGTGTTACAGAAATAGAAATTATATTGATTGCTGTTTTATTGAAGCAATGACTTGGTTGCCTCACTCAGACTGTGTTTACAATAATGACCGTATGGTCGGGCCCTCTCTGACTTCAGTAGTAGTATTCTGTTTTGTTGTAGTAGATGATGCTTTTTGTATTGTGGGTCAGTGTAGCAACAAGCAAAAGTGCAAATGGCTTCTTTCACATGAGCGGAAAATGTGAGAAAGTTCCAACAAAACTTTATCGAAACTGTTGGAGTGCGTCCTTCTCAGCCCGGAGCAGATTTACTTTTATTTTTTTCAAATGAGACGATATCTTGAGGCTACAGGAATTAAGGATCTTGTGAATATACACCTAACATCTCTTACATCTATATATGTGTTTTCATCAATAAATGTGCAGATAATAATCTGTGCATCTTGCAAGGGACGGCAGAGAGTAATATCCTCCCTGAAAACTTAATGGTGTGTGTGGGGGACGTTTAACAAGGTCATGGCTTAAGGAACTATGTTTATAAATGAGACTGAGTTGTACTTTAAAATGGCCTAAAGTATCTATAAATAGGTTTGTCATTTTGGAAAAATTGTGATTACTGGCAACTTTCTTAGGGCTATTCGACTTCAAAATTGGAATTTGTTCGGAGGAAACATGCATTTTTATTTTTTATTTTAATGTCTCAGAAGTTGGTTTATTTGGTTTGCGTGCTTGAGTTTAAATGTAAACAGGAAGTTGGTACAACTAACAATAATTACTTAATTAATAATTAATTATAAAATTGTGTGTTGAAATTATATTTGTTTGTAAATGTAATTTGATTTTTTTAGATGCGTATCAAGTGTAACATAAATATTTAATGTAGTCTTTACGCAATACAGTGAAATATATAATAAACATGTTTACAGCCATTCAATGCAATTTTACTCAATTTAGGCATTACATTTATTGCATACACTAACTTTAATCACATTAATTAATGTCGGCTGTCCTTTTGAGTTCTTTATTTATGACATATTATATATACATATATTGAGATTTCCCTAATAGTTCAATAAACTTAAAAATTAAAAATATTTGGAAAAGGCTGCCTCTCTTTTCTTCAGTTATATTTAAATAACAGTTTGAACAGCGCAGCCATGTATACATAAGAGGCCCTTGATAAAAAAAATCCCTACAGTACGTGTGTACGATGCTGTCAGTCTGAACTCAAACCGTTGGCGCATGTGTGCATGTGGTCTCGGGGGACTATGTCTATGGGGAGAAGCAGAGCAGGAGAAGTTGGAGAGAGCAGCAGCCACACAGAACATGGACAGAGCGTTTACCTGGCCCTGTGCTCTGTGGGTACGCCAAGTAGCCGCCTCTTCCACGGGCCCCCCTACCTGAGCCACGTGCTGCTGCTACCGCCGCCGCCGCCACCGGTCCGTATGCTGTCGCTGGGAAGCCTGCAGGCACATACACACACACACATACACACACGCATCACTTCCTGCACATGGATGAGTAAGTCCCTGAGCTACAGGAGAATGTTGATACCAGCACTGAGCTACGGGATAAAACTATAGCTGTCAAAGTCTGAGGCTCATGTCAGGGCGACATCTATCAGGCAGACTCCCACTGAACCCACTGTGATATTCAAAACCCAGCAGACCCACTGATCCATACGCAGAAACAGAGGGGTAGCCAAGAGCCATTCACAGAATATCACATTGACATAAAAATAAACTTGTGTAGCCTCAATGGGCTTGTCATGACCATCAGGAGGCTAATTGCAAACTATATATATATATATATATTTAAATCAAAACCGTAGGACAAAAACTTCCAAGTAGGTACATTTAATTCTAACCTCTCAATTCCAAAATTTCTTTACGACCGAAGGAGCAAATTCTCATTCATCTATTAAACTGTGAGTAAACTGCCGTTTGCAATTCACCAAGTCCCTGATTATATCAGTGGAAGCTGTTGGCTCTGGAGGGGTGTGTAAGTCACTTGCTTTGGATGAAAGATTACAGCCACTTGTGAGCTGCATAGACACGCAGACCACCGGGGACCATCCCTGCATTTTGCTGAGTTTCTATGGAATTCAAATCATCCACTTTGATGCCCGAGGCAAAGTATCCCACATTCTTCTCAGAGCTATTCAGGTAGACGAGGCACAGAGGAGAAATATGTCCCGCAACAAACTCATTCGGAGGAGACTCCAATCTGTTAGCTGAAACGGGCGTTTCTCGGGCGTGTTAAAGAAAATATTTAACTCTGAGATTTATGAAGCTTTAAAAGCATTCATACATTTTTACAAAGAAAATGTCAGTTTATGATACCACAATAACTCTGAAATCTGAATCCACTTCTCTGGGTTCTGATTAGTCCAACAAATATCAGCCTAATAATCAGTCTGTAATTAAGCCGACGCAGTATCTGTGAATTGTAATTACATTGTTAGCCTTAATGAACACAGTAGCTAGAGGTGGCTGTCGGAGGCTAGTCCATGCCCGGGGCCTGGGCTCCTCTCTCAGCACAGGAATGGCATGTCATTAGCGGTGGTGATGAGATTCCTCACTCTGGGCTCAACACCGTCTACGCCTAATCAGCCTCCTAAAATTATCTCCACGGGAAACGCTCTCCTCGCTAGCAAAAAAAAAATAAATAAATAAAAAGATCTACAAATTCCCTCAGTTGGAATCCTTGTTTTTCCCCTTCCAGTTGAATGTGTGTGTGTTTGCAAGTGTGCATTTCCTCTCTGTCGGCCACACGCTGTGGACTGTGTGGCTGAGACAATACAAAATGGCACAGGACACCTTTGAGCATTTTGTGGAGGTGAGAAGTGCACCTGTGGGTGACCTATTTTCAGAGTACTGCTATTCTACCAAGAGAGGCTCACACACACGACTGATGAGAGGGGGGGACGAAAGGGGGGATCGGGGGGGGGGGGGGGGGGAGAAGGGGGTGTCAGGGCAGGGTCAGATGAGCCGCAGCCAAAGAGAACAACACATAGCGTTTCATCAGCCAGCTGAGAAGGGGGTAATTCACAACTATACATATAACCATGAATGTGCGTGTTGGGTGTGATGTGCCATCATGTTGCGACTGGCAGGCAGGCGAAAGAAGAGGAAGAAATGTTCCGACACCGTCTAACAATTCAGGAGAGAGGGGCCGAAGCGGCGAAGGAGGGCGGAAAAAAAAAAAAAAAGAGAGAAAAAAACGGCGACAAAAGGCAACTGAAATCAGCCGCGTTCATGCTACTGCTGTTGATTTGTACAGCTCAAACGATATTCTCCGCCTCTTTTCACAAAAACACAAATCAACTCTGATACTATGCTAATGATGGCCATGCACCCCTGAATTTCCACTTACGCCCCCCCCGGTTGCTGGGCGGAACAGTATTTCACACGGCACACTCCACCTCTCTTACCCCTCTCTTACCCCTTTCCTAAGTGCAGAATCTATCTTCCCCCTCCTCTGCCATTGTCATGACACCCCCAATAGACCCACTGGCTTGGAAGTTAGTTGCGGGCAAAGTTGTGGCGAGAGATTAACTTTGCAGGATTAGGTGGGTTAATTAATAGATGGCTGCTGCTCATTGTTTTGTGCTCACGCTATAAGAAGCCACCCAAGAGAAGCGCCGCAGCATTAAATCAATTTCATGGCCCTTTTATTACTGAGGAGATAAAGCCAATATTTAGCTTTCAATTCTTCACAATTATTGGGCCCATGCTTTGCTACTTGAGTGGCTGCGCTTGGCTGGGGACAAGGACACATCTGTTTATGAGCTGGGGAGGCCCGGGGGTCTTTGGTGTCTGTACTCTGGGGAGCCGTCCTCAGCTTTCGCTCCTCAAGCCTCTTGCCCAGAATTGCAGCCTTCTCCGAGAGTGCACAAAGAAAGGAAGACGGATTAGACTCAAAGAAGGATGAGCCCTGTCAAGAATCTCATTTTGCCCTCTCTCCGAGCTAAGGAATTGTATTTTGTCAACACAAACCTTACAATTTCATTAAAAAAAATGATTTGGAGAAGAAAATAACAAAAACTGATGAAAATTTCAACCGCTATTTTCCCAATCTGAGGTTATTCTTGCTTTAAAAATCCATAGAATGCTGACACTTACTTGTAAAGGACTCTCAGTCAGTATTGAACACTGTTATTTGTAAATATTTACCAACATCCAGAAATGTCCTTGTCTCCATATCCTGCCTGTCTGTCCTGCGCGCAGGGGGCGCAATGTGCATTCATATCTTCATGAGAGTGCCCAGCACATACTGCAGCGCTACGCCCGTAGAGTGGCATCTTTCTTGGGTGTCGCACCTGTATTTTGTGAGTCTCCTGTGAAGTTGGCTGTACTGAAGTGGGGGGAGAGACGCAGTGGAGGCAGTGACACAGCGATCCAACAGCACAGTGCAATTTTTGTGTTACGGTTTCCTAGGATTTTTCGCTTGCACCGACCGCCTGCACAGGCCAGGTCAAAAGATTAGTTTTCTCCATTATAAAACTGTCAAAGCACTCTGCTGAATATCATACTGCTTTAAGGTAGAGCGAACAAGGTGATGTGATTGGTGAAATGTATTCTAGCCCCCATCGCGACCACTGATGATGTATTCCTCCTGACATCACCGGGATTTTGCGCTGCTTTGAGGTTGCATTGCGGCATTTTTAGAAGTCACTCCCTATGCCCTGAGATACGCTAACCAGACCGGCCAAATGTTCTGATACACAGAACATGTCAAATTCCTTTCATGTACTCCAGCAATAAATGTTCCTGATTCCTGAACCGTCTGAGAAGCCGTCACTAGAAATTGTTTGGAGAAAGGCAGTCGCTTTCACAAATACTTGCCGGCTCGTTGGAAGAACCCTCTGTTAATCAATCTTAAGAAAAACATATTTTCAATGAATAAAAAGCCTTTTGTGTAGTTCTTTGCCAGTCTTTCCATGGGGAAATACAATGCCGCCATTGTTGTTTAGAACAGACCGTCGCCTCTCATTCTCACATTCATCCAAGCCACACGTGGGGAGCTCCTCACAGGAGGCCGGGTGGTCCGCGCCGTACCGGACACAAACACATCACTTTAGGCCTGGCGAGATTGGATTACTGGGCGATAAACTGCAATCTTGTGACATCGGCATAACTCAGCAGTGTGTACCCAATGTTACCTGCATTTGTGTGGCAATTAGTCATCACCGGGGCGCTGTAACTGATAAATGATATGTCCGACCACTCAAAGCGCTTTCACCGTACATGTCATCATTCACCCATTCTCACCCATTCATACACTGATGGCAGGGTGGGAGGGGAGAGGGAGTGGTACCATTCAAGGTGCCGTCTGGCCATCGAGACTCTAACTGGCCATTCCCACCAATTCATACACCACACCAATTTGGGGGTTAAGTGTCTTGCCCAAGGACACATCTGAGCCGGGGATCAAACCTTCCAATCCTCTGATTGATGACGACCCGGCTTTCGCCCCAACAGCAGCACACGGCATGCGTGTTCCATCTAGAGAGACATTCCAACCGCTGCAGGAGGAAGGTGATTTCTCAATGATCTTTACAGGTGCTTATGAACCCCTTAATCCTTAACATTACCTCTGTTTTTACAAAACGCTATTTCTGCTCCATTTTCGCAGATCTTTTTTTGGCACACTGCCTCTCTAGCCACTTTCTGATCCTATTACTCAGAAAACACGACAATGAAAAGTTGTTGCATTATGCATCAATGAGGTCCTATTTATGTCCCACCCGTCTGACAACAGCTTGACTGATGTTAATGTAATCTGTACTGTTCTTTGGCCCAAAACTGCCAGCGGCAGCTCCCCCCGTCATTGACAAAGGAGCGCCATCAGTCACAGAGCACTCCGCTCATTTCTGCTATAAGAAGAACTGTCAACTCTCTAATGCACAGGAGGAGCCCAGGGACAGCTGATGCTCCACCGCAGCCCCACGGATCAAGTAGCCTATGCCCATTTTTTTAATATCTCTCTGAAAGCAAAAGGCACTTCATTTCCAGTGGAAATCCTAAATGGCGTAAAGAGAGCAAAAGTACATTACACGTCCCAAAGTTCTTTGTTTGCCCCGATTTAAGTACAAGCAAACTAGCTAAGAATAATAATGAGACGGCGAATGCGTGGAAAATCCCAGATGGGATTATTAAATAAAGCATTGACATGCCGTTAACCAGAGGTTAACTTATCGGCTAACAGGGTTTTTCATGCTACGCGGGTTAACACCGTAGCTTGGTTTTGGAAAGAGGCTTGTGAATAAGCCTTTCAGCCTGAAGCTGAAGTCGGCTCCGGTTGCAGACAGAGAGTGAGAGAGATGAACGGCGAGGAGCCGAGATGAGTGAGACGGATGAACAGAGAAAGACACCAGCTACATCAGAAGAAGAAGAGGAAGAAGAAGACAAAGAGCATGAGAAATTGAAGGAGAAATAAGGTCACAGCACAGGTGTCCAAT